AGGCATCCGATGGTTCAGGGCACGGCATTGGGTCCAGCAGAAGGCAGGCTTGGCATCCACGGCTGGAGGCTACTGGATTCGAACAGTTGATGGACATGGGTTTAGGACAACGGTGGCGGTACGGCCTCGTTGTTCAGCCACCATCAACGGGGGAGTTCAAGAAGTCCAACAGCCTGAACAACCACGTGCAGTGGAACATAGTGGAGAAGATGCTGCAAGGCAAATCGAAGACCTCGCGGAAAGGGGAGGTGAACACAGCGTCCTGGAGCAACTGAAGGCAGCTGCTGAGTTTCGGGAACTGTTTGATGACATCCCTCAACCTCCATCGGACGCAGAAGCCCAGGATTCAGGATGATGAAGGCCAACACGCAGAAGCTGCTGAAGATTTTGAGGATCAGCTTGCTGAACATGCCTTGGTTGAGATCACCGATGAGGATGTTGAAGAACATCGATTTCGCGTGACTGGCAAACAACCACCACATCAGCTGTACCGACCAGTTGGAGCAACTGGGGGGGAGTGGACTGGTCAAGCTCAAGCTGCAGTCAAGCGACTCGTTGCGGAGGAGAAGGCAAACATGAAAAAGTGCCAAGGCTGTGAACTTCATCAACCGCGTGATGAGCAAGTGTGGCTTCTGTCAGGAGTCAAATCCTGCGCATGAGGTACAACAAGACTTCGCTGTGGCCATCAGAGCACTGTCAAAGAAGTCGGACTGGCTTCAGAAGGTGTTGAGTGGAGCTCAGCAAGTCTTGGTAGATGAACTGGCCTTGGGAGTAGCAGGTGACGCCGGTGCAAACTTCAGTTGGCTTGAGGGACCTTCGTCGGTATGTTCTTTGGTTGCAAGCGCAAAACAACATGAATGAAACGAAGGCGATGCTCAAGGCATTAGGGGCTGAATCCAAAGAGGCCGCTGTGCAGGAAACTCAAGCGCTGCAAACCTACCTGGTTGGTAATAAGCAGGTCTTGGCCGAGAAGGAACTTTGGACGCAGCCAATTGGTAATGAGGTCGACGTCTTGGAGAACACGAAGACCCTGAAAAGAAGAACTCCTCAAGAAGTCAACGACCTGATCAGCAGCGGCGTGACGGTGGAGGTAATCCCGGGCAAGTTGCTTTGCTCAAGAAAAGCTCCGTGTGGTCGAAGGAAGGCTCGCATCGTGGGCTGCGGCGACTTTGGCACTCCAGATTCGAGTCGGTGACGGTCTCGACGGGGGGCTTGGACTCGGTAAGCCTTCGACTGCTTGTGACGATTGCAGCTCAGCAAGATTGAGCACTGGGAACCACAGACATCACATCAGCGTTCTTGCAGGCGCCAAATAGATCAACTGCGCGCAAAGTGACCCTCATCAAGCCGCCTCATGTGGTGACGAAGTTGGGGATAGCGCCTGAAGGGTGTCTTTGGGAAGCTCAAGGAGCGTTGTATGGACTCAGAGAGTCTCCGGAAGACTGCTCACAGCATAGAAACCTCAAGATGCTGGATGCGAAGTGGCTGTGCAGTGGCAGAGAACGTCACTTAGAGCAGTCGGCCGACAGCAACATCTGGTACATCCTGGACAATGAGCACACCATCCGTGGCTATGTCGCAATGCATGTCGATGACATTGTGTCGGTTGGCCCAGAAGAGGAAGTCTACGGGGCACTGCAATGCGTTGAGACGCTGTGAAAGTGCTCCAAGCGTGAAGTTCTTGCTAGCCCAGGCGATCGCCTGAAGTTTTGCGGTTTCAGGTGGAGCGAACAGCAAGTGGATACCACCTTGACCAGAAGGAGTACATCCTGGACCTATGCTCAAAGAAAGGGGTGGTGGAGTGTGTAAGTGGAGGGGTGTGACAATCTCAGAAGGAGAAGATGAACAGTTCGACACCCCGACCCTCCGAGAAGCACAAGGACTTGTCGGTGAACTGCTATGGCTGTCAGGTCGAACAAGGCCTGATATCACTCACGCAATGGGTGCTCAGCCGTCAGATGCATCGCAAGCCAGCGGAGGTGGCACTTCAAGCAAGAGCACTTCTTGGTTACCTGAAGGCGACAGCTGACTGGGGAGGTGCATCTATGGGGACAACCGCAGCGCCCTGAGTCTGTGTATGACGTAGGCTGCAGGTTTACGGTCGGCAGTCGCGTGTGCATCAAGTGGCTGGGCTGTGCACCATGTCAAAGGCTCCAAGGCACTCCAAGGCACTGCTTTTGAGACGTTCTGCAAACGGATTGGTATGGGCTCCATGAAGGCCAAGATGGTGAAAGCACTGCAGATTCATGAGAGCCGGGATGAAGATGATGGCCTCGTCCTGAGAGCGGCATTAGCTGTGATAGTGGCAGCGTTGGTTGATCTTTGTTTGCCGCAGCGTGTTTGATGATCTTAGGGACAACCTGGTCCTGGTTGAGAAAGGTTGGAAAAAGATGGGAGAAGGAAGATGAACTCTCCCGGGGGGAGTGCCTCCAAAGGGCACCGAATCCATTGTGAGGGCCCCGAATGAACCCAGAGTGCAAGAAGAAGAGAAAAGATCAGGAAGGGCCCGGAATAAACCGCCTGCGGGGAACCACCCTCTCCACAGTAGCCCGGAGGGCTCCCGTGATGCTGCTTCGAGCAGCTGCCGACCGCGTGCCATTGTTAAGATGATGAAGGTCGAAAGACCTCGCGCGCGGCCTCATGAACCTTGGTGGCATCCGCCGTTCGACAAGCCTCCTGTAGGCTCATCTGATAGGTGGATGGTCGTGTAGAACTTTGTGGTGAGGATTCACTGCAAGCTGCGGTATCAGAGATGCCATCCTATACACAGTTCGTACCCTCTTCGGGATGAACAGGTCTTGACGGGTCGTCGAGTGACCATCAAGTACGTCAATGGGGAGCAGCCTGGCAGACCAACGGAAGATTCCTGGGTATAGATCCTCCGACGACAGAGGACAGGCAGGACAACAAGGTTGAGGGCCGTTGGACTGGCTACACCTTCTTCGAGCTCCGTGAACCTGCCAGAGATGCTGAGGTCGTGAGCTACTATGTGGGGGAGCGACCGATTGGAGAGTGGGCGAGAAGAACAGACACACTCCCACCTCATCTGCGCATTCCACATGACATGAGAACCACTGAGGCAGCCCAAGCAAGAGCGCACCGGATGACGCGCGCGGCATCTTCAGGACATGCGTACGAGTTTGCCAAGGCTCCGACCGTCGTGACATCGTCGTCAACCCCTTCTGTTGCGAAGGCGCAGAAGGAGAGGAGTAATGACGGTGGAAGGTCGAGTGCAACAAGCTCAACAGCAGGACCTCCAGGACTTGCTGCCCCAAAGGTGTCCTTTGGATCAACAGCGTGGGCTTCAAGTGCGCTGAATCCTGGTGCAAAGGCAAGAACAGCGAAGGCAATCGCCAAAGCGCCTCCTCCAATGCCGCCAGCAGAGCGTTGGGCAGATGCACCTGATGGCCTGCGACAAGCTAGAAACTTTGACGGAGCCAGAGAAGGACTGGGACCTACCACCTGGTACTGATCCTGTGTATTGGGTACAGGTGGGATCAAGGCTGTATCATTGAACTTGAAAACAGGCCACATCGAGAGATGCCTCGCCTTGATCTCTCGCTGATCCTCAGTGCCACGGAAAATGGTACGCCGTGCTATGTGGCTGTTCCTGCTGCTGGTGAAGACGTGGGCAGTGGAACATTCTCATCTACTTTGCCAACGATGACAACGGACTTCTCCACGCCGGATTCGACTCTGGCGCAGGATGGGAGTCTGAGTGGCACAGGCTATATGCGAAAGGAGGAGCAGTTGAGCGTGGACGAGCTGCTTCAGGAAACCAAGACTTCACTGCGGGCATTCCTGGAGGACCAGGACAAATGGCAACGAATGCTCTGCAGGCGTTGGCAGAAGCAAATGAAACTCCAGCTGGGATGACTCAGCAGGAATGGGATGAGCTTCAAATTGGCCCACGAGAGATTCGCATTGGGTCAGATTATGGAAGTGATGGAAGCTTTGAGGCCTGTGGCAGCTATGTTCCCTTCCTTGACGTCTGAGTGATAGGGTCTTGAGCTTAGCTCGTTTTTGACCAAGAGGTCGTGAAATGTTGAGGCAAAGCCTCAAGGGGGAGTGCAGCGTGAGAACATGTAGAAGCACTCACTTTTTGCTAGGTTGCTAGTTGGAAAGTACAGGTTGAGATAGCGCGAAGACACATAGATGTCCGTGCGCCCGCAGACCCTTTTAGTAGCTGAAAATAGTTGCATTGACTCCTGGTGACGCACAAACAATGCAATTGGAAACTATGGGAATAGTCGGAACAGTAATATACTTACAGAGGTTACCAGCAACATCGGACCTTGTCCGGCTTTGTGTGTGTCTTGCAAGGGACCATTGTCCACTTCCATGTTAAGGTCGTGAGTCAGAGTGTAATCAAATCATAGTTTATTGTCCAACCACTGCAGGCTACTCAGGTTGCTTGGGCAAGTAGTAGAACTACATATGATCTTGCCAAGGCAATGCGCCTGTCACGGGCCGTCGAAAAAGTGCCTCGCAAAATCGCAAACAGTATGGCCAAATGCCGTCAAGTCCGAAGATGCGGACACAGTTGGCTTCCGCATCAAGACAGCTGCCAATGGCGCGATCACAAAAGTGATCTAACTCATGAGAAGGATCCAACGCAATATGGCGAATTGCGAGGGTTATGATAGTGAGGAGGACCAGGAGCCGCGGACGAGGAGGAAGAAAAAGATAGAAAGGAAGCGTAAGCGTAAGAAATAAGGACCCACATAATTAGTGATGCGGGGGGGGAATCTCAATTACAATCCAGTGTGCGCAGGGACTACGCACAGGTGAAAAAGATTGGTTCCAGACAAAGATGAAGGATGGCGTGTCTCAGGCCAAATTGCGGGTAATCCGGTCAGTCACTGCAAACCTCCACAGAGCCGGATTTGTTAACGTAAACATGCGCCAACCAGGAAATTGAAAAAGGACAGTCCCCGCCGTGCTTTTGACGCTTAGCATAGCTTAGTATCGCTTAGCAGCTTGCCACCTTTGAAGCTTAGGTGCTCGATGCTGCGGATGCCGTTGTGAGGTTGTCAGAGCGAGGGCTGCAACAGCTATTGCAGCAACCTGATAATATCCAAAACTGGAGGGAAAGGCTTGACTGCGAGCTTGCTTAGCTTCCCCACCTATGTGATTTGAGGTTGGGCATCGCCCTGTCTGGCCCTTCAGAAGAAGCTCCTTTGGCACGTTTTCCCGTGAAATTCAATCCTTTGCGCTTGCAAAGAGTGTTTCTTGCTTTGCTCAATGTACACAGGGTGTGGGGAATGTCCAACCAGGAAACCCTGTAGCAATGTGTAGGAAGCTTAAAAGAAACTCACGCAGAATCTATCAGACAAGCTGCAGGCCTGAGGGGTAGACCTTTTCTTGCCAATTTTGGTAGTGATATTGATTTTCGGCAGGAGGACAATCTGCAGCCAAATGGAACGTTGATGATATCAGCGCGAGTGCGTGTCAATGCATAATTTCAATAGCTGGAATGATTAATGGGAACAAAACGATGAGGTGGGCACGGTGCCCACAAATTTGCTTATCCAATGGAAAAGGGAAAACATGTATATGTATACTGTGTACTTATATTTCATTGGATGTTTGGCTTGGCAATAGGTTTGCAGCCCATTGATGACCTTCTCTCTCTCTCTCTCTCTCTCTCTCTCTCTCTTTGCGTGGGGGTCCTGTACCGGGCTCCATCCGCTCAATCCTCACCATGCGAGAAGATACGAAGACCCTGTGCCAAGGAGTTTAGTTTTCGCGCGTCACTTTTGTCCAGCGCATGCTTCATTAATGTTTATTCAGGGAACCCAATGTTCTGTGGGAATGTTTTCCAACGTGTTTTTGGAATTTCTTCCAGGTTCTGTTGTCTTCGAGGAGGGAAGGGAAGGGAAGGGAAGGGAAGGGAAGGGAAGGGAAGGGAAGGGAAGGGAAGGGAAGGGAAGG